TCCTTGCAGAGCGGTTCCCCCAAACCTCGTTCCCCCAAAACTCGTCCCCCCATCACAGGCACGGGGCTGTGTGTTGGCCGGGTGTCGGGGCTCTCCCCATGGGGCTGCGCGGCAGCAGGAGCTGCGCCCCGAGCGGAGACAGCCCCCAGGGCACTGCTGGGGAGCTGCTGCTCCGGGCCCTGGAAGACCTCTCTGAGCTGGATTTTAAAAAATTTCGGGACGCGTTGGCGCACGGAGACCTGCGGGGCAGGTGCTGCATTCCCTGGGGGCGGCTGGAGAAGGCCGACTGGATGGATACGAAGAACCTCATGCTGGATTTCTACGGTGGGGAGGCTGCCCTGGATGTGGCGATAGCTGTCTTTGAGCGCATCCAGCTCCGCAACGCCGCTGCCCTGCTCCGGGAAAGCAGAGAGAAAGGTGGGAAGGCTGAGAGGCTCCCCGGCGAGTGCAGCATCCCGCGGGGTCCCGGGCACTTTGTCCTGGGGGTTGCGTCTGCAAGAGCCCGTGTTTGGGGCCAGGAGGATGCTATGGAAAGGGCAGTGGGCTGGGGGTCCCCATGGCAGGGTGAGGGGGGCTCCTCCAGGGAGGAGGAGATTGGAAGAGGATTTGGGAGTGTCGGGGGCTCAATGATGCTGCCCACTAACACCCCTTTCTCTTCCAGCCCTGGGGCCTCTGCTGGTTTCATCGTCACCAGGTAGGTGCTGGCGGGGAAAAGCACGGGGGGCTCTGCCGCTGCTCGCCCCGCGGTCTGCAGATGCGTGAGGTGACCTCCCACCCTTCCAGATTACCGGAGGAATTACAAAAAAGCCATTCGCCAGGCGTACAGCTGCATAAAGGACCAAAACGCCCGGGTGGGCGATAACGTGAGCCTGAACGCCAGGTACTCGAAGCTGGTGATTGTCAACAAGCACCGCGACGAAGAGCAACGGGAGCACGAGATCATGGCCATGGGACGGAGGCACGCGGAGATCATGAAGGAGCAAGCCAGCTCCTCCGTCGCTGTCGGCGACCTCTTCAAGCCCGGCCCTGATGGCTGGACCCCCAAGGTGGTCGTGCTCCTGGGAGCCGCGGGCGTGGGCAAGACGATGACAGCCAGGAAGATCATGCTGGACTGGGCGTCCGACAAGCTGTTTG